CAATAAAATATGTAGACCATATATTTATACCATTCACCACACTGTAGTACAGGGTACGGAAACGTACGGAAACGAGATAGACACATGGTTCCTTTTGAAAATATGCATAGAATCATTTTTTAAGTCGATTTATGTAAACAAAGTACAGGTCGCATTTATGCTCCGAATTGGATGAAATTTGGCATAGGTCACTTATTTGGCCCAAGGACGAGCCCTATTGAAATTGGGAAAAATCGGTTCAGATTTAGATATAGCTCCCATATATATTTTCGTTCGATTTAATGTAAATGATGTATCAAAGTCCCTATACATCTTTCGATTTGCACAAAATTTGGCACAGGGTACTGAATTAGGTCTAGATATAGCTCTCATATATATTTTCGTCCGATTTTATGTAAATGGTGTACCAAAGTCCCTATATATCCTTCGATTTGGCCAAAATTTGGCTCAGCGTATTGTATTAGGTCTGGAATGATGTGTGTTAAGTTTCCAGAAAAACGGTCCAGATTTTGATATAGCTCCAATATATATTTTCGACTGATTTACTGTAAATGGTGTACCAAAGTCCCAATATATCTTTCGATTTGCACGAAATTTGGCACAGCGTACTGAAAATTTTTCCAGATTTAGAAATAGCTCCCATATATATTTATACCCTTCACCACACTGTGATGTATTTGTGCATATGTTTGTAACAGGCAAAAGGAAACGAGATAGACACATGGTTCCTTTTGAGAATACGCATATAATCACTTTCTGAGTCGATTTATGCATGTCCGTCGGTCCATGTATTTTTGGTAACAAAGTACAGGTCGCATTTATGATCCGATTTAGATGAAATTTGGCACAAGTCACTTATTGGGCCCAAGGACGAACCCTATTGAAATTGGAAAAATTCGGTTCAGATTTAGATATAGCTCCCATATATATTTTCGTCCGATTTAAGATAAATGGGGCACCAAAGTCCCTCTATATCTCTCGATTGGCACGAAATTTGGCACAGAGTACTGAATTAGGTGCAGAATGATGTGTGCCAAGTTTCGAGAAAATCGGTTGAGATTTAGATATTGCTCCCATATATAGTTTCGTCCGATTTAAGGTAAATGGTGCACCAAAGTCCTTATATACCATTCGATGTGCACGAAACTTGGCATAGAGTACTGAATTATGTCAAGAATGACGTGTGCCAAGTTTCGAGGAAATCGGTTCAGATTTATATATAGCTCCCATATATAGTTTCGTCCGATTTCATGTAAATGGTGCCCCAAAGTCCCTATATATCTTTCGATTTGCACGAAGGTTGCCATAGGGTACTGTGTTGTGTTAAAATCGGTTCAGATTTAGATATAGCTCCAATATATATTTTCGTCCGATTTATTGTAAATTGTGCACCGTGCAGAACCAACAATTGGCCGACCCACACACAATTTTGTACAATGTACTGAAGTTACTATAACCTTTCTTGTGTCAAGTTTTCTTGAAATTGGTTCAGATTTACATATAGCCTCTATATATACTTTCGACCGATTTTAAGTAAATGGTGTACTAAAGACCCATAGCTAGGTCGATTGGCAAAACGTACTGAAATTAATATGAATTAATATCGGCCAAGTTTCCTTGAAATCGGTTTAGATATAGAATAGCTTCCATATATAATTTTGACCCATGTATGTTGATTGTAGTAAAGTTGTATATGATACCCTTCAACACTGTGGGTATATTCAACAGATGAATTCTAACAGACGTCGAATTTTTGAAGGACCATTAACATGAAAATGGATCCATAAACATGTCATTCTGCAACCTATACTAAATTCTTCATTTGGTCGGATACAGGGTTGCTTCAAACTAAGTTATATTAACTTCAGTAGTTGTGCCAAATTTCTTGTCAATCGGCCTACCTTGGGGTCTTTGGTGAACCATTTATCTATTGGAGGAAAATATATATGGGAGCTACATCTAAATCTGGAGCGATTTTCAGCAAACTTAACACACATCATTCTACTCTTAATTCAGTACGCTGTGCCAAATTTCGTGCAAATCGAAAGATATATGGGGACTTTGGTACATCATTTACAATTAAATCAGCCGAAACCAGTAAGGAAAGTAGTAAAGTCGGACTGGGCCGACTATATGATACCCTTCACCACTTTGGGGATATTCTACATATGTATCTTTACAGATGTCGTCTTTTTGAAGGAAAATTGACATGAAATTGAACGAACTTAAAAATGCGATCTTTATGTAAAAGTAAACCGACTAACATCAATCCTTACACATGCCATTCTGCAATCTATTCCATACTTTGTAAATAGACCATAAGCGAACTTCACTGTTTAAAATGTAATATCAATCAAGCACCCATGTATCATTATGAACTGTAAGTGGTACGTGGACTTTTTTTTAAAAAAAATCTCCATAATACCGACTACTTTGGGGTTATATGTTATATATTTATATATTTTGAAATTAGCTAGTACAACTTTTCTCTTGCAAAACTAGTTCTATTCAGTTGAAGATCATTTATTTCAAATAATATATCGTACGCTTAATATATGCATTTAATTGCGAATTTAGGTTTTCTTTATTTTACAAAAGTGTCCTTTATTTACGATTTCTTATTGGCCACATTAATTAGATGATATCCTTTGTAAAATACATTTTTTCAATGCGCCATTTGCATCAACAAATTCATTTTAACCTCGGGAAAATATCTACCAAAATTTATAGCATCAAGAGTAAAATTTGACCAACAATATTGCTTATCCTTCTTAAGAGGGCAGCTTCCAAATCCATTTTTTGGCGAAATTTTTCTTAGAATTTTTGATATGAAGATATTGCTCTTTACACCAGCGGCTATTTGACAAAAATCCGCACTTACATTAAATATTGTCCAAGGTTTTCCATTTGTTCGGTTAGTACTAGCATGGAGACTTAAAACCACAGGATTAATATTTCGGACAAGTTCAACACAACCATTTAATGCAAGATGATTGGTACGATTTATTAATTGTAGGCTATTGCTTCCGATGTATGTTGGATCAACTTCATTGCGATATGATATAAATTCTAATGACGCTGGAAACTGTAATGCAGGGCTTTTAATTCGATGTTAGGAATAAAGGTTTTTATTTTATTTTTTTTACCACAAGACAAATGAAGGACCCCAAGACTAGATGCATCAATAATATTTGTTTTAGGGAAGCCGAAAAATTCGACAACATTTTCAATTGAAAATTTTAAGCAAACTGATAAAACAAATATGCAATAATTATAGAAGTTTGCATAAAATTGCAATACTCAGAAAAATTATTATTTACCGACTTCATTCATGGTTGGTTAGTAATGTTATTTTTTAGATATTATCGTAATTATTATTATTAACAAAACAAGAAAGAAAACTAATTCCATAACCAGTAATTACGTAGCGAATATGTATTTTCCTATAATGAATATAGTGAATGTCTTTGTTGTGGATCTACTGTGTAGAAGCGAGAGAAATACGTCAGTCCTTATTGCCTTAAATTGTATTCAATAATATGGACAATCTCGTTCCTGCAACGGTTCGATATTTTTCGTTCCGCTCCGTTGAAGGAGTTAGATCATATATTTTGTTACATAGTTTATTTTAATTTAATTATTCATTATTACACCCTGCATGTTCTGTGAAAATTTCAGCGAAATCGGTTTAACCGTAAGGTCACACTAGGCAAATATTTGACGAAAAGTGTCAAATATTTCTTTGCCATAATCTGACCACAAAATATTTTCAATGGTAAACACAAAAACAGCTGATTTTGGGCAAACAAAATTATTTGACAGTAAACAAAATGTTGCTTAAAGTGCACCCAATGTGAACGCCGACTAGCAAATATTTGCCTTATTTTTGGGCAAACATTTATTTGCCCTTACAATATTTTTGTACGGGCGAACAATGGAAAATAACAGTTGATGAATTCATTGTGTTGGCGTTTATATTGTTGGAATTTCGTCATTTTGTTTGAAAACAAAACATTTTTGACACTTTATCCAATCAAATATGACATTTTTATTAGTGAAAAACATAATTTCAGGCCCTAGGTACGCTTTCAAACCGAATAAGCTTAATATTGGCATTTCGAATTCTTTTTGGGGAAGACACCGCCTCGCAATGTTCAACATAGGTCAAGATTTGTATATATGTAGCTGCGATATAATGACAAAGCCCGGTTTTCGATCTGTTGTAGGTTTTAAACATATTTTCAAGCGATGTGGCCGTGGTTTGCATTTGGGATTTATATTAAATAAAAATCTGTAGTTTGTATTTCGGGTTGTCAGATGGTAAATTATCTCGTCACATACAATTTTCAAATCTCGACATATGGTCTAGACAAACATGGAGTTTTGTCATATTCTCCATACAAAGGTCCCGCCCCATTTGGTACAATCCGAATTTTATTACCAAATGGGATCTAATTTGGTGTTGGTTATTAAAACGTTCGCAAGATCTAGCTACATCCTCCATATATACGTTACATCCGATTTAATATAAAAGCGGATTCCGTAGGGGTATGATGTATATTGTACTATTTAGAACAATTGCATAAAGTACCTTATTAATAACTTATAAAATATACGACAAAATTTAAAAAAAAATCGAAGTTGGCCCTAATTTCTCTCTATATTTGCTGGCAAATAAATTTATTCTTTTTGGCAGTTTGATCAAACTGTTTCATGGTGCAAATATATTTTCCAATGTGACCACACGTCAAACATGTTTTCCCATTTGATTATTGGCACTATTTGCTCACTGTTTGTGTCAAATATTTGAGTGTAATGTGAACACAAAATCAAGAGTGTGCAAATTTGACATTTTTTGGGCAAACAAAAAAATAGACATTTGAGTCAAATATTTGCGTAGTGTGACCTTAGCTTAAGGAACATACAAATAAACACCCATAAAAAATTGAATTTTGTTTGTTCGGTGCTTTCGTTTTACCTATCCCAAAATGTGCACTTACCTGAACGGAGTGATCCAAATTATTGATAATACGTATAACACGACCGGCACTGCGTTTTATCGAACCCGATGTGGTCGATAATGTGCCCAAATCCGCTTCCATTATTGATGGTTTACGACTGGCTGGTTTTGAGCCCCAGCCTTGATTGCCAGGTGATGCATACCACATGCCGTTCTTTTTACCGTAGCTAGCAGGCTGTAGTATATTCCAACCAACCGTGAATATATTCATTCATCCAATCGACCAGCCATCCATCGATTCGACCGACCATCCATTGCAAATAAAATGCAAAATAGCGTCAGCAGCAGCATTACCAAACCAACAAATTCCATTTGGCAAAGGGACAATATATGAAAGGAGAAAAAAGTAAGAAACAAGTTAACGTTGTAGTTTTTTATTATTTATCAAGGTTTGAGAATTCCACAAATATATATATAGGTTGTAAAAAATTGAGACGTGGTCGACTGGTATGGGCTTTACGCCAACCTTGTAATTTAGAGAGCGCTTATCTTAAAAAAGTTTTTAATTAGCGCCGACAAAATGACGATCTTACACAGTTGTCAAAAAGAAATGAAGTGAAACAGAAGTTTTAAATAAAAATAAGTTTGTGTTATGAAGACTATGCGAAACTGAATTGTCATTTTGTGATCTATGTACATAGATAATTAATTTTTGAATGAACCTATTCACTACTCATTTTTTTTGCCACAAGCTTTTAATGTTCACACAAACTAATTTAAAATCTGAGGTTTCAACGTATTGAGTTTAAAAGTCCCCTAGTGATCATGCAATAAACTAATCTGCAAGTACAGTGTTGAGAACCCCTTGCGGCAAAGGTCTACACTAAACATTATTACTGCGATGAAAATTTAATAAACGGCATCGGTTTACTACCAGCCACCAGTAAGTATAAACGGAGGTGATATAGTTATAATCGGGGCGTAGGAATGAGACCAACACTGGAATTTATAAACGTCCGACCAATAGAAACATCTACAATGTAATCGACTTCAACCGAATCGATGTCTGCATGATGAAATATGCCCTCAACTTCCTGGAAAGGAGCCAGCTTTTGGACAATGGAATAGTTGAGCAATACATGGAGTTCAACGAGAAAATCCACTCCCTACTTAGAAAGAAACACCTCCCTCTGCAGCTTTACTGAGACTGCGAAACGGAGGAATCCTTTACGATGAAGAATACCGTCTGATGTACTATTAAATTCAGATTTAACGTAGTTAGAAGATGATAAGTTTGTCCTGTTTTTTATTTTTTAAGGCATTTACAGTTTTTAAAATATTTATATATGTACAGGGTTGCCCATATTCGACAGACCCATGTTTTTTTTAAATGTTAATCATTTAATTTGTTCCAAGTAGATTTGTTTACATCAATTTTCGAATATGATATCTCTCAAATAGCCGCCTCTGGCGTTGATGACGTATTGTGCCCTTTTTGCTGCATTTTCCATCGTTTTTGCCAACATTTCGGCCGGAATAGCGGCTATTTCTTCACGAATGTTGTTCTTGAGCTCGTCTACCGTCCTTGACTTCAAATATCCCCACAAAAAGAAGTCAGGCGGCGTCAAATCAGGCGAAAGCGGTGGCCAGTCCAAATCACCACTTTTCGACATCAAACGGCCCGGAAACCAATTCTTCAGAAAATCGATTGTTATGCGACTTGTGTGCGGTGGAGCGCCGTCTTGTTGAAACCAGAACTGCCTCATACGCTTTCGACGAAAAATTGGCATCACAAAATTGGTCATCATGTCGCGATAACGCTCCTGATTGATGGTAACAGCATGTCCATTTTCATTTTGGAAGAAAAACGGCCCAATGACCGTTTTCGCACTAACGCCGCACCAAACTGTGACTTTTTCGTCATAAAGAGGCACTTCTTGAATCTCCTGAGGATTTTCAGTGGCGCAAAAACGGCAATTGTGCTTATTTACGGTCCCATTCAATGTGAAATGGGCTTCATCGGACATGATATTTTTTTTTCCAAAATTGCTCGTCATCTTCGGCCATTTCGATTACTCTTTGGGCCCATTCCAATCGACGAGGCTGGTCCGCAGGCAACATTCTTTGCGTCAATTGAATTTTGTATGGGAACAAATGCAAATCAACGCGATTAATCCGTTGTAAAGTGGACCGAGCCATGTCCAACAGCTGAGAACGGTGTTTTTGGGATGTTCTTGGGGACCTCTCAACAGTGGCTCGTACGGCAGCGATATACTCGGCCGATCGCCTTGGTCGACTTTTATATGGCCTCTTCGGATTAGAAAGAGCCTTAGAAGGCGCACTTCTCACATTTTTTAATGTTTTAAAAGCACGTTGAGTTTTCACAATTGACTTCTTCTGTTGAATGTAAATTTCAACTATTTCAGAGCGCTCGCGTGGCGTGTATTAGTACGCGGTATGTCATTAAGCGATGTGACATCTCTGTCAATAGTTATGGCGTTGCCAGATGGGTCCGTCGAATATGGGCAACCCTGTACTAGTTGGTTTAAAGGTTCGCTAAAATTCCAAATGCGGCGCTAGATATAAAATAGTTTCGTTGTCTCCTTCATTGTAATTTTATAATTTAGCCATTATGTATACCAAGGGCTATATAAGGTCGGACAGTAAACACAGGTGAGTATAAAGTTTGCTGTCAAATCATAATTGAAACGTATACATACAAAATTATGTTAGATGTCAAAACGAAAATATTAATATTTTGTCAACATTCAATTTTAATTTTTATTGTCTTTGTGAAGCACATATGGACTATTTCAAGAGTTTAAAGAAGATTTTCAAGTAAATTATCCTACACATTTTATTAAAAAAATGTACGTTAAACTTAAGTTTTCTCTATGAATTCCCTTACTGGCCGACCTTATATAGCCCTTGATGTATACTGTACAACTGAAATAATTTTCTAAATAAATGGCAATTTTGAAATGAAGTGAATGATAATCGAGGCAGTCTTTTGAAATGAAATGAATGATAATCGAGGCAGTCTTCTGTAGATTGCTGTGGAGTTTAAAAACGAGTCCATGACTGTGGAAGTAGTTAGTTATAGTTTGCTGTCTAGTCGAGTGGAATTGCAAAACGCGTCCACGACTACCAGTGAAGTAGGTCCTGAATATAGTTTAAAAAATAACCGCAACGACAATATATATATATATATATATATATATACCCAAAAATGTTTTCCAATTGAAATTCTCACCTGCTGTAGCGTATACAGAAATAAATGAATTAATTTTGTATATTTATACCCTACACAACTATGTTGTCAGGGTATTATAGCTTTGTGCAGCCCCAAAAGTTTGTAACGCCGCGAAATATTGGTCCTAGACCCACCTTTAAGTATACTGATCGTCATATCTCGACTAGCTGAGTCGATCTAGACATGTGTGTCCGTCCGTCCGTCCGTCCGTCTGTCCATTATAATTTGTAAACACGATACAGGCCACAGTTATGGACCAATCTTCACGAAATTTTGCATGTAGGACGGGTTCTGGCTAATGAAGACCCCTATTGTTTTTGGGAAAGATCGGTTAATATTTAGGGGATGAAATGGACCAAATACTAAATTTTTGTCGGTTTTTCTGGTCGCTCCAGAGGCCGCAATAATGGCTCGAACATCTTGAAATTTTGCATGGAGAATGGGCTCAGGCCAAAGAATAAGCATGCATGTTTTGATAAAGATCGGTCAATATTTAGCGGGTCAAATGGACCCTGACTTTTGTGTGAAAAATGACAAAATGT